TTGCCGTGGTTACTGCTGGAGTACATTTTGCCGTGGTTACTGTTGCGAGTACATATTGCCGTGGTTACTGCTGGAGTACATTTTGCCGTGGTTACTGTTGGGAGTACATGTTGCCGTGGTTATTGCTGGATTACATGATGCCGTGGTTACTGTTGGAGTACATGTTGCAGTGGTTACTGTTGGAGTACATGTTGCAGTGGTTACTGTTGGAGTACATGTTGCCGTGGTTACTGTTGGATTACATGATGTCGTGGTTACTGTTGGAGTACATGTTGCCGTAGTTACTGTTAGATTACATCATGCCGTGGTTACTGTTGAAGTACATGTTGCAGTGGTTACTGTTGGAGTATATGTTGCCGTGGTTACTGTTGGAGTACATGTTGCAGTGGTTACTGTTGGAGTACATGTTGCCGTGGTTACTGCTGGAGTACATGTTGCCGTGGTTATTGCTGGAGTGCATGTTGCCGTGGTTACTGCTGGAGTACATGTCTCCATGGTTACTTTTGGAGTACATATTGCCGTGGTTACTGTTGGGAGTACATATTGCCGTGGTTACTGCTGGAGTACATTTTGCCGTGGTTACTGTTGGGAGTACATATTGCCGTGGTTACTGCTGGAGTACATTTAGCCGTGGTTACTGTTGGGAGTACATGTTGCCGTGGTTATTGCTGGATTACATGATGCCGTGGTTACTGTTGGAGTATATGTTGCCGTGGTTACTGTTGGAGTACATGTTGCCATGGTTACTGTTGGAGTACATGTTGCCGTGGTTATTGCTGGATTACTTGATGCCGTGTTTACTGTTGCCGTGGTTACTGCTGGAGTGCTTATTGTCGTGGTTATTGCTGGAGTACAGGTTGTCGTGGTTACTGCTGGAGTATAGGTTGTCGTGGTTACTGCTGGAGTGCATGTTGCCGTGGATATTGCTGGAGTATAGGTCGTTGTGGTTACTGCTGGAGTACAGGTTGTCGTGCTGTCTTTTTGACTTCTAGTGACCCTCTTGACATGACTAGAACCACCCCCCTGCTGGTTGTTTCAACCAATCAGGAAGTACCAAGTGACAGGAAGTGAGTACTCTTTAAAAAGTCAACACTTCCTGGGACTATGAGTCTTCTTTCAGTCTCCATCTATGAAGTCTTCTCAGGAGTCTTCCACTTCTGAGTGGAATTTCTGACTGGAGTCTTACTGAGAGTTCCTAAGGAACTTTCAGATTTAATCAATAGCTGATGGATTTGACCGTGAGACGAGGGTCCGTCCATCCCAGCTGGAGTCACAGCGCCTCGCTGTGAACTCACCTGGGCGTAACGTCCTACAACTTCGAAGGAAGCTTGTTCTGTTGAACGGAGTAAATCGTCACGACTTCGGACGATGACCAACCACCCTGACCGGAGGCGCTGAAAGGTAGCGTGCAAAGGGACCTCTATACTGGAGCTGATCCATCCACTGCAAAGGTAAAGAGACGTCACGAGTTGTCACGCACTAAGTGGACCGGGGGTTTGAGCTGGTGTTGAAAGAAGAGTGCTAATTCTGGTCAACAAACATCCATCTTCCTTCATCCATCTTCCTTTTAAATCCATTTCTTCTCTTAAACTTCTATTTGCCAGTAATCTAGATGCCTTCAGTAATGTTCTGTTGTCTTGTTAGTAAAGCGTGCCAAGTTTTTATTAATCAGAAACAGATCAGCAAATCAATGTGTACATGTCTTGATGTTAAATTTTGATTCTGTTAAATAAATGACCGCATTTATTCTGATGGGTCAAAGATAAAATGGCGTCTCATGTCACTGATTAAACAATCCTCACAGTTATCTCGGTCACATGGCAGAAATTTAACTCGAAAAAGAAAAGAATCCATTGTAATTAAACAATTAATATTCTTTGTGCTTGAACTAGCTTTAAGAATAATTAATTAGTAGTGAAGCTAACAGCAAAGCTGTCCTGACATCATTACATTGTTGTCATGGTTACTCAGTAAACAAACTGAGCTCTGTCGTAAAGTTTGCAGCTTGTTTTTTCGTGACTAATTCCCCTGAAGTTAAGGGGTCAAAGTTCAAGTGACAGAATCTAAAGTCAACTTGTTTTCTTTGAGTGTCTGTTTGCGTGTGAATGTTCCTGTAAAGTTCCTGAGACAACTTTGTTGTGATTTGGCGCTTTATAAATAAACTGAATTGAATTGTCAAAGCCTTCCTGTAAAATCTGTTTGTTGTTAGTTCATTCTGTTATTTAAGAATTGTTTTAAAGAAACTGAAGCTTCAGCTGTTTGTTTGTTTGTTTGTGTTTGTCTTCAGGCCAACAAGCAGAACTTCTCCAGTAAATCGTTGTCATCGACTCCGTCCGATAAAGTTCTGAGGAAATATGAACTAAAGATCAACCTGGGTAACTGCACAAACACAAGTAGACCCCTTGTTCTGAGCCTGTTCTTGTGTGTTCTTACATCCTGTTGGTTTCTGTTTGTGACTGAATTCTGGAGGAAGGACGAGTCGTTCCAGAAGTCCAGGACGATCCAAGTTCCAAAGAGTATCAGTGAATTGTTGAATGAATGGACGCCTTGTAGGACACAGTAGATCAGATGCATGAACATCCGTTTATTCCTTCGAGTTAAAAAGAAAATGGTGAAGAGGAGGTGGGAGGCGCTCTGCCTTTAGACCGAGGTGGTGGTGGGGGGTGGGGGGTCAGAGCAGCTGAAGGTTCTAAATGTCATGATGGTCTGGAGGAACGGTGAGGGATGATAAGTTTCTGAGTCCAGGTAGAACACGATGTTCTGGTGTTGGTCCGGCCAGCAGCATTCTGAACTGAATGAAGTTGACGTGAGGACTTTTTGGGGGGTGGGGGGGTGGGGGGCTGAGAGGGGACCAAGATGGTGATGCTGTCAGGACCGAGGTGTGCCGGGCTCTGGACCTGGGGGGAGCAGGCAAACCTGTTTGGTGGATCCTGAGCGGGGAGGGGATTGAGCAGACTGGTAGAGCTGGGTGTGGTCCAGTGAAAGCAAAGGTTCTGACCCAGTCACTGAACTCATCAATCAATAGTTGACAGTTATGTGTGTGATCAATAAAGTTGTGTTGTTTTGCAGATAAACTGAATTTTGATGATTCTGTGATCAACAAGGTGACGGCGATGCAGAGGCAGAAAGACGCCTACACGTACGTCTCAGCTCACCTGTCCATCCTCACCTGTCGCCTCAGGTGATTAATGCTCTGATTGGTTGCTCTCTGCAGGTACAGGCTCAAAGACAAATCGGATCGAGCCACAGTGGAGCAGGTGAGTGTCAGGAAGTGATCGGTGGATCACTAATCAAACGTTTGCTGATGATGTTCTTCTGCAGGTTTTAGATCCACGAACTCGAATGATTCTGTTCAAGATGCTGAGTCGAGGAATCATCTGTGAGATCAATGGCTGCATCAGCACAGGGAAGGAGGTGTGACCAGTAACCATAGCAACCTGTGCCACACTCAGGTGGAACCCTGTAACAAATGTGTTCTCCACGTTCTTCAGGCTAATGTTTATCACGCCAGCACGTCTGCAGGAGACAGCAGAGCTGTGAAGATCTACAAGACGTCCATCTTGCTGTTCAAAGACAGACACAAATACGTCAGTGGGGAGTTCAGGTAAGTGCTAGCACAGAAGAAGAGCTGTCTTCCTGTTTCTTTCAAAATAAAGGCTTAAAGCTGTGTATTTGAACTGAAAACTGTTCTTGTGCTCTGTAGATTTCGTCATGGTTATTGTAAAGGAAACCCCAGGAAGATGGTGAGAACGTGGGCTGAAAAAGAAATGAGGAACCTAATCAGGTTAGAACCTCTTAACTGACACTCTGAGCCCAACAGAACCTCGTCTTAAACCCTAATCCAACGTTCTAGAACCACGATTAATGTAAAAGTGAAACCAACCCATTGAAATGTACTAACATTAAGTAAGAATGCGCGATATATACGGTACACGGTAGAAACTATAATTTAGCCTATGATCGAGA